TTGGGTTGGTGGATTGGATGGATTTGTGGGTTGGTGGGTTGTTGGGTTGTTGGTTGTTTGTTGGTTAATTGTTGTTGGTTGTTGGGTGATGTTTAATTTTTGGTTTGTTTGATGATGTGTTGCATGTCAGTTGATGAGTTGTTTGAGTGAACGAACCGAAAAAATATAAGTAAATGAATAAAAGCAGTTTTTTCAACAACAAAAATCCAAATTCTTCAGTTTCTCAAAACTAGTAACAGCATTTTTTTCAAGATGGGATTTTTATAAATAACATCTATTCCGATCCCAAAACATCAATTGCCAAAATATCTATAAGAATTTCAAGCTTAGCTTACCTGATATTGATGACGTGTCTTCTCTCGTGGTTGCAAATTGCAGGATTATTTTAGCTTAATATGTTGTACAAATTCTTTTTCAATATTCAACAGATCTCTCCCTTTTTACTCACTACTTGCAACGAAATAACCACAACACTTACTCAAATTGATAATTATCAACTTTTAGGGCATCGGAAGAATGAGATATTTCTAATATCAAATATGCTTAGTATTCTGATGAAGAGGGCGGTCAACGTAAGGTAGCCTTAAGTGGTTTATTTAAAAGCCTTTGCGGGTGGAAACTGTGCTTATTTTGCGCGAAAAATTCTTTAAGAAAAATAAACAAACTTGCCTAAATGGTTTGATATTATTTCAGCAATTGTTTAGCAATGCATTCTTTTCATTAAATAAAAAGTGAAACTGATAAAGCTCAGTAATGAAGCTATTCCATACAGATTTGAAGTAGATATTCTTAGCGAATGAAATTTCTGAGATTTGATCATTAGATTTCCTGCAAAAACCATCTGCGAGAGTTGTTCGCTTCAAGAATTTCAAGCGTTTCTATCCTTTTTGATTACGTTCGATAACACATCATATTTTCGAAAACATAGCTCATTAGCAAAGTAACCTTAGTTAAATACAAATACTATTCCAGTCAACATTTAAGAAAGTTCCGCAAAAAAACGTTTTTCCCCCGCGAGGTTCTTAGTAAATATCTAATTTAAGAAGGAAATACCTTTGGCACTTCGATATCGACATCTTTAATTACAAAAAATATATATACCTACTAGATTTTTAATAATAAATTTTCGGGAAAATAAGCTGATAAAATGTGAATTTGTGAAGTACGAGGATGAGAGAAAGCTTACTGAAAATAAAATGGAGATTTGTTTGGTCGTTATACTAGTATAACTGACCGAAAAAGCAACCAAAAACAATTGTGAAGTTAATCATTTTAAGTTAATTTAAAACAAAGTCTACTTAAACTCATGTAAGATAGCTAGGAACGGGAAAAATTACGGTTTGAATATACGAGAAAATTTATCAACAGCAGAATTGCTGGAATTTCATTGTGATAGGATATAAAAGTCGAAAAAATACAAAAGGACTGCAAAATGGCCGCCTTGATGGCGATTGCAAAGCTGTAATTTGCGTGTGTCCTCTAACTTTCACTAACATAAAGCAAAAAAAGGTGTGGATTATCTATATTAAAAAAAATTTTTTTTGAGTTTTCGTGTATTCTTCGAGTCACTAAACCAGAAGAATCGAAGAGAGAAGAAAATGAGAAATTGAATGAAAATAATTTCCTTTGTTGAACTTGGCCGCTGCTTATTTCACATGATTTGAATGAGCTTTTATGAGGCACTTTTAAAGTAGTAAAACAGAAAAAATATGACAATACCTGAACATGTTCACATTAGTAGGCTGTGAAGCTGAAAGAAAATAAGTTCAAAACTCGCAATTATATTATTTTTGAAAAGTGTGAATTTTGCAAGAAAACCTTAGTTAAAGAGATAGCTCAAGCAAATGTTTTCCATAAAATTCAGCTAATTTTTGAAAATTTATATCTTCCCGATTTTTGAACGTTATAGTTTCAATCTCAACAGTTTTAACAATTCTAACGTACTCTTTCCAGCTATGGTAATTATTCTTCTCAGGTTCTGTCAGTTTTGGAATAATATTATTTCGAGTTTATTCTTAGACCACCTTTGAGCTTGCAGACTAGAAGTCCCTTTACTCTTAAGAGCTGTCAATGACTCTACATTTAGTTTGTATTTTAGTCACTAGCTTCTCATCCCTTTGTAGATGGACTGCATTTTCCATTGTCTATTCTTGTCTTCCATTTAACTTTCACTTGATAAAGCTGTATAGAATAAGCGATTTGATAAAGGTTCGATATACCTTTTTACTTAAACTCTCGCCAAGCAAGAAATATTTACTAATCTATCGAATACCAAACGGGAATATAGAAATATTTAATTAATTTTGGTAAAGAGGTTCTGGGCTAAAATAAACTCAAAAAAAAAAAAAAAAAAAAAATTTTTAAAAAAAAAAAAAAAAAAAAAAATATTAAAATAAATTAAAAAAAAAATTTTGGGGAAAAAAAAAAAAAAAAAAAAAAAAAAAAAAAAAATTGTTCAAGAGATGAAAAAATACAGAAATTCTTCATCTACTTCATTATTTCAAACAAATGTCACGCAAACTTAAGTCGTCGCTAAAAGTTGTTTAGCTTGTGAAATGTTATAATTAATCCCTTACAGCTTTAAATTTCACATCTAACAGATCTCATTAGTTTTATTTTTGAAATTTCTAACAAGATTAACTGTGAACCGGGACGTCATGCTTCAAAAACTTAGAGGAAATCCGAACTGATTTCATACATGACAAATGGTAAATGATAAATATCTAGCATTGCCATCAAAAAGGCATGGATATCGGTAATGTTCGATAAGGTACCTCTAAAGTGCTACTTGGATGAAAATCGCCAGAAATCTGAAACATCACTGGAATAATTAGTTTAAGGGTCTACGAAAAATCACTGGTTAAAGATTCTTTATGATATTCCAATTTGTGGTATTATTTTTTTACGAATTTTTAACGGAGCCTTTTGACGTCATCTACTCGACACTAACCCGTTACTCCATGCCTAATTTCTTTGTAAACAGTTTTATTTTTTTTATTTCTATCAAAGCCCAAAGGTCGACTAGCGGACTTAACGTACATTACTTTTGATTAGGATTATTATATTTTTGGACTCTTTGATTCGATAATGAGTCTGCCTAGCGAATATTTTGATCATAAAATACAGAGAAACAGATACTGAATGTTAACTAGTGTTGATGATGTAAATGACGTCACTGACGCCATTACAAATTCGTAAAAATATAATACTTCCTAAAGAAATATCAAGAAAAACGTTTAGAAGTGTTTATTAGAACCCTAAAGATTATTCCAGTAAAGTTTCAATCCAATTGAATTTTGGAAGATTTTCGTTTAAGGCGTAGGTAGCACTCTACTAATTCGAAAAATGTCTTTGTATCAGACGTGCTTTGGAAGAACGTTTTTTAAGTGTCCGCAGAGACCGATTGACTCAAGTGATCATCATCTTAGTAATTATAATATTCTGTTTAGGGAAAAAAAGATCTGTATTTCAATTTTTTCAAGTGAAGCTTTTGAAATGCTCGTAAAGAAAGTAATCAATTTTTTAAAAGTCTCTTTAACAATGATAAAAAACTAGTTAGTTAGAAATCCATGGATGACTGTATTGGATATTAAGTAGCCGATGGAAAAGTTAAAGACTTCCTTGACGTCGTTTAGTCTGGGGAATACGACAATTTTCCGTAAGGAAGAACACTCGTTATATATTAACGAGGACTTTTAGAAGATTAGCTCGTCTGAAGTTAAGAATAAGAAGAATTATTGACCACGTATGAATAAGAATAATGCTCAAAATCACGTATAAGATCCTTACACAATTGAAACCTTTTTCAAATGTCTCTTCAACATCTGTGGCTTTTAGCTGTGATACGTACGCTAGCGTACCGGGAAAAACGGTTTGAAATGGTAATAACGGATTTACATGGTTATCGAAAAATCTTCTTCCACTGATTTGTTTCCTAGTCTTTTTCCTGAAACGAAATCTCACAAAATAAAGCCTTAACTGAAATATGCACTAAATCTAGCATTGAATCTATTTCATCTTGCTTACTTTATGTCCACTTCATAGCCGCCATACTTGCTTACTTCATAGCCGCCATGTTGGATGACCTGAACACGAGATGATTTTTTTAAACAGCTTTATTGGGAAACTAATATTACGATGTGTTGAATAGAAAAAGACTAATAGTTACCCAGAAAGGAAAGTCAACCAAAATGGCGGCCATTTCATTTGTCCTTGTTTACGTGACGTCATAGCTGCTATGTTGGTTGACTTGAACAAAAGATTTGGTCTTGGTTTCTTTTGTTATGTCAACCAAAATGGCGGCCATTTCATTTGTCCTTGTGTATGTGAGGTCCTAGCCGCCATCTTGGTTGACTTGAACATTAATATTTTGTAGTTAGTTTGTAGATGTTGCAAAAAGACTCATGACAAAACTTTAGTTAAAAATTTCAACCAAAATGGCATTGCAATTCTTTAAAAACATTTATTATAAAGAGAAGTCGATCCTGAAACCATGTTGATTGCCCTGTTAATCAGAAATAAATAATGGTATCTATCCATACATACTTTGAGGTCACATCAGTTTGACGTTCTTTCTTGACGTTTTCGACTTTTGTCGGCAGAAGGTGTTTTTTTACGTAAGTCGTTTATGTCAGCTTTTATCATGACCTGAATATACACCTAATTGTAAAAACGTAGTCGAGTTCGAGGTCATATCATTGAAGCTAAGACCGAAAAGGATTTTGGGTATTCGGAAATGTTTATTATATTTTGCATATAGACATGTAAAAATGCACAGTAGAGCAAAGTTGATCGACCTAGATTAACAACATGCCAAAGCCATGATGCATAAAATGTGCACAGGAAGGGAAAACTGCAATACGCATGAAATTAGCATAATTGTTTGTCTTCCCATGCTCCCCTTCGGTCTTAGCTTTGATGATATAACCTTTTTTTGAAGAATAAATAGAGAATAAACCTAAATCATTTTGTCGTGATTATTTATTTGAAATTTAGTTTTACATGTACTGTCAGAAACACCAAACCTTTGCATCACTCGTAGCAATTAAAAAGTCAATATGGCGGCTCTTACCAAATTCGTCAGTGACGCTGTGTCAAATTGCCTTGGACTCGAACGGCAAACACCACGGCAAGAAAATAGATAACACTCACGTGGTTCATGTATATTTCGCATTCTTCTGACCGGAAAAAATGTGAATTTGATCAAGAAACATGACATGCCTATTATCGTGTACAACTTTCTTTTAACGTAAATATACAGTTTACTGCAATCATTTTTAAAACCTTATTTTAATTTAATTTTAACTAGCCTTCTTGGCCTATGTTTTGTTAAGGATATCACGAAACTGGAATAGGTGAGAATACAAGCTAAAGATTTTTCAAGTTGTGACGTATTTTCGGGTCCAACTGCTCTTTAAGAACCGCTAAAATGAAGCAAAGATAGATAAACTCCTCGACCTAACATAATAAGAACTTTAGAAAATGATCTTGTCGTGAAGAAAAAAATATGTTTCTAGAAGTTCTTATCATTTTGGGCCCATAAGTCGTTTCTTTGAATTCCATACGATTGACGTCACTAGCTTAAAAGCTCTATAGAATAGCTTGTTCTGAATACAATAATACAGTGTAAATTATACAATTGATGGTTTTCATGGCGGCCATGTTGGAGGAACTTAACAAAAGAATTGTCAATGAATTCTTTTGTTATATCCTCCAATATGTCCGCCGTGTCTTTTGTTATCTAATTCTCTTGGGAATGATTGAAAACCATCAATAGGTGCTATGTTTAATAATTCGATGGATAATAAAGCTATAGCTGACCACTACAGCGGTAATACTTTTCACTTATAGCTTCGGTACGAGCATGCGTATCATGCCTTGGATGGTGTTTTTCGTACCCAAGCTAAACCACAATGCACCATAATAGTCAAACTCATAAAAGAATAATATGGACGCCCAGAAATGTAAATTTATCTCGACAATAATTCTGTTTTATAATAACCAGCTGAGCGATGTACGATGCGCGCAAAGCATGAGTGGACAAAATGACCGACCATAAGCTTTTTTTTTTTTTTTTTTTTTTTTTTTTTTGAGCTCGAAAGAATGAAGTAAACATGGCGGTAAAGTGAAATTATTTTTATTCTTTCTTTTCATATTTCGTTTCTTTTAGGCATGTATATTATATTTTAGTCAAACGAAAACCGAAAAACATGCCGCAAAAGTTGGGTTATAGTAGCCTGGGAATGAAGGCCGGCGGTAAAACAGCTAAATGTGCCGTGATTGGCTGAAACAAAATTCACCGCTCAGCTGGTAAGATGCAATGTTCGTAAAATCAATAATTGCTTCTCTGCAAACTAATAAAAAAAGAAAGAGACATGCTTTGAATAATCCTATTTACCATGCATTAGCATTTTTTAAGTTGCATAAACAAAATGCATTGTCGTCTATATATGGCATGAAAAGATGCTTACACCCAAGCTAGACCAGAATGCACTTCGCTCCCTATTACAAGTCTATGTTTTTCAGAGCTCGTTCTAGTAAGCGACTATCGCCTGGAGCTCGAAATTTAAAAAAAATMTTTTTGTTTGTTGTCGTTGTTATTATTGTTTCTTATGCTATGTTTGTCTAATATTTTCAGTTGTATAAGTAGTCTATGTAATCCTACGCAAGAGTTTGATATATTGTCAAGTTTAAGTAACGTAGTTTCACGAGCTTCTTCTGCAAATGGTCATCTCATCTCAGGAAAATCCTCGAAGTTGAAGACGAAGAAGGTGGCCTCTGAAATAAGAAGAATTTTGATATTCAAAATTAAAATACTTGGAATTTGATTGAAATACTTTTCCCAGTATTCTATTTTCACATCTCATGCATTCCTTTTCATCTATTCATTTATCAACTAACTATCCCATTCCATTCCATTTATCCATCCAAATGATATAAAAGTACGTATAGGATCATTCAAATTCAAAATTAAATGACGTAACATTAACAAAGCATTCGTCATTAGCTTCTCTTGTTAGATCAATCAAAATTGTGGCTGTTTTATTGTTATTTATATCTCAAGGGATTTTGACTAATATGATTGCACCCAAGAATTATACGAGTAGATACGAGCCTTGATGTTACCAACGAGTTTGAGAACTAAAGCAATAAAATAGATGTAGTCTGTCAATCAAAAAACATGAATAAGTTGAGTGCGAATGAAGCCTATAACTTTAATAAATGGAGCCTGAAAGTTTAGGCCATATAATTTGATTTTCTGTTTTAAAGTGTTTCTAGAGTGCAACATTGCCCAAAGGTATGAAAATAACTTTTTTAAACCCATATTAAGATGTTTTGTATTTAGAAAAACCGAAAATAAGATGCTTTACAAACTGAATTACCTCATGGTTTTCGTTATATTTGAAGAGTAGATGGATGACATCACGAATATATTTTTTAAAGAACGTTAGGGTTTGGTGCACGTGTATTATCAGGAAGTGCATGTACAAATATGATATAGTGTAGATTTTCAGCCAGAGCAAAACCCAGCCACTGASATATAGGTAATTTAATACAAAAACATCTCTATGCATTTTTTTTCTTCTTTGGTGCTGGATCTTACGTTATTGGGATACAGTGTAAATTTTTAAAATGTATGGGGATTTTTGGAGATTAAGAATCTAATATCTTAATTTTTATAGTTCGCAGCAGCCTTAATGTTGACAGAAAGAACACAATGTTGTGTTGTCTTAAAATAGAAACAATTCAAAACTGGTTTTGATGAAGTCACACTTTGGTACTCTAAACCTGTTCTGCTGTGCCATAATCTTTTATAATAGTGAACATCCTGAAGGCTTGAGTGCTACTCTAATACGTGACCTCAAGCAGATCCATTTTATTCTAATAGGTGTGTTAGTAAAGTTTAGTCAAGTAAGCTCTTCGATCGCATGGATCTTAAAGTGCCTATCACCCTTCTGACAATATTCTCAGTGTTGATTCTACATGGGGTAAGATGTGGAATAACCCGAAAATATATCATAGTTTGAGTGCGGCTTCTTAAAGTGATAAAGGTTTTTCCATGTCATATGCTAATGCTGTGACGTATGAGGAGGCATTTATAGTTGTTTGTTGTTCCTCGTAATTCGAAACACCGGCTTCTATGCGAAAACTAACTTGCAATAATTTCTATAAGAGCAATGGGAAAAACAATGACGTATTCTAAATTTAATTTATCTGTACCAGTAGTGTTTTGTATATTAAATGATTACTCCTCATACGTCACAGTACTAGCCTATGGCATGGAAAAACCTTTATGATTTCAAGAAGCCGTACTCAAACTATGAAATATTTTTCGGGTTATTCCGCATCTTACCCCATGTAGAATCAATACTCAGAATATTGTCAGAAGGGTGATAGGCACTTCAATTTAACTACCACTATACTGAAGAAGGCCAAACAGGCCGAAATGTTTATTTTAATAAATCTTTTGACCAGTAAGTGGTTCCCTGTCTCCTAATGATACTATCATTTCTCGATTGACGTGGCATGGTCTTTGGCGTTCCAATCTACTCCTATGTAATGCTTATATATATATATTTACCTATTTATTTATCATTATATATAAATGATTGTACAAACTGACAACCAGTTTGTTCAAACTTTGTTTGCCATCCAGCAGAGCCTTCCTCAAGGGACCTTTGGCTGAGTGAATCTCTAAGTGATGTACCAGCACTTGACTTACTGAAAGTCACTTCGTTCAAACTTTGTTCGCAATCCAGCATACGCAGAGCCTAAAGGGAATATCAGCATTTGGCTGACTGACAGTCTCTTTGCCCGCCATCCAGCATAAGCAAAGCCTTTCTAAAGAGACTTTTGGCTGAATTTATCAAGTGATGTATCAGCATTTGACTATTTGATGCAACTCACCTTCTCCATTCCATTTGAGGTAGACCTGGTCTCTTTAGACGTAATTTCACTTTCATACTTAGGGGGTGGGGACGCGGAGTGACACTGGAAGAGGTGGCTGTCGGTCCAGATCTGCTTTTTCCTACGGAATGCTTTGCGTACCTCGGAATTTAACACGCAGTGAAAAATAAAGATCATGAAACCCTTGAAAATACAAAAATAAAATAACGTCAAAAATATCTAGCGTAACCGGAAGTTACTGGTGTATTTTTGAAACAGAAAAATATTTTTWAAATCTTCTGTGTCGGAATTTCTTTCATTTGCTGGAAAATTAGTACTTTCTCTGCACGTGGGGGATGGAAGGATAGATGAAATGTGCAGGATGGAAGGATAGATTAAATGCGTGGGATGGATGGATGGATGGATGGATGGATGGATGGATGGATGGATGGATGGNTATATATATATATATATATATATATAGCTCTTTCGCATATGATATGATAACGATAGCGGCGTCAATTTTATTTATCGTCCAGATTCATTGAAGAGCATAGAGTATTCAGTAAAAAGTTGACTTTATATCATTYGAAGTGTAAGCATGGACGTAAAAGCTAACAAGAAAGCTATACTGGCAATGAAGATTTAAGAATGAACATTAACAATATTTTATATTTAATCCGCATGTGCGGGTAAACTCGCCAAGTTATAATGAACAAAATAAACTAAAACCCAGGACCTCGGTTAACTTACTGGTAGTTAAATACACTAACGTTCACTGAGCTGTCTGTATTTTTGTTATTTTATTCATTAGAGCTTGAGCTGGAATCAGCAATGGTATCTGCCCATTTTTTAATGGCCTTGGAATGCTGTACGGCAGCCTCAGTTGCTGCAGCAATCAATCCCGGCAGTGACTCCAAAACCCCTGAAAGCTTCTCCTTGTTGTTGCTCTTTCGAGTTCTAGAACAAAAATAGAAAATTATACCTTTGTCGACAGAACGTTTTGYTATATATTAATTTTAAAATTCAACTGATTAATTACATTATTACATTTTTTACTATACCTCTTCCGTTTTCTGGACCCAGTCTTTTCGTCTGGCTGCATTATTTTATCTAGGACATCAGTACGTGTTGCCAAGCCATCCGTACCACCTTGTGCATCAACAGAGAATCTCATATCGTTGCTGTCAATATCAAGACGAAGAGAAGCTGTGTTCTCGTTCTCTTCCGCGGAAGATTCAAGGTCGTCATCTGCTTGGCTTCTGTCAAATTCTTCCTCTATATTCGTGMTCACGTTATTAGACTGATTCGGTTGACTAGATTAAAGGTGCGGATTGATTGAAACGAAGAAAAAGGAAGAAAAAATAATATATTATTTAACTACACAAACTATTAGCTAAACTTTATGTTTGATGATGTCGTAGGTATAGTAACAGTAAGAGTAGCAAAAATCTCAGCACAAAAATTCGAAACCTTTCTTCATTTGTATAAAGTATTATAGTCTTTATCTTGATGTTTACCTTTTCAACAGCAATTTTGTAGCTCTTTTTCGAACTCTTTCCGTGGCCTTTTTGAAACCAGAATCTCCTGCCTTGCCCGCTTCAGAGTAAAATTCCTTTAGATCCTTACCCATAACTTCTCCATTTCTTTGGAGGAACAACACAACAGCTTTGAAATCTCTTTTGTAAAGCTCCATTCCTTTTGTTATCAACATATCTTCTACGGGAGTGGCTCGTAGACGCGAACACTTTAGAAGTGGTTGAGACATCTCAATGCTAAATGCTTATAAAAACAGTTGTACAAAACATGCACATGGACACCTGAGCATTATGTGTACACAAGGCACGTGAATATTGTATTTTTCACGACTCAGCGTTAATTAGCAGAATTAATTAAAGTTCATCATAATGAAACGAGTTTTATAACGTGTATTTGAAACCTGAAATTTGAAAAKTATAAAGGTTACGAAAGAGAATTCGAAGCCTGCTATAATTCTTTGACGTCGATCAAATTTAGTTGTGCAAACTGCAGCTGTCATTACATTTGAGTTCCCCATGACTGCACTTTGAATTTTATTATTAGTTTAAATATTTAAATTCGTGCAAAATTTGACATGCATCCAACATTTCCTGACCGTGAAGACTAAGATCACCCTAAAGTAATTATGGTTCCTCCACCGTTTCCTTTATTTGCATATCTGACGATAACGGTTCTTGTTCACATCCTGCAATTCTTGCAATTGGTGTTTGATGATATCATATCACCTCCACCTTTTCCTACCTTTATTTGCAATCCTCTTGTGATAATAACAAGCCTGTTCAACATCTTGGAGCTATTAGAAGACCCTCTTATTGCACGACTTTTCCCGGGTTTGATATTTTCAAAGAATAACGGTCGAGACGTTTGGACACTTCTAGAAGCTGACCCTCCTTCATTTTGGTACATCACTGGAGAAACCCCTCAATCTTTGGACACTCTGGTTCAATTGATTGCTGAAGATGTTCAACAGCCTCGTCTCTTGCCCCGACCACCAACAACTAATCGAAAACGGCAGTGCCTCTTGGATACAAGAAATCGAGTGCTAATTGTAGTTCTTTGGCTTCGTTCATATCCCAACTACGCGTTTTTGGCTCTACTGTTTGAGCTTAGCAAAAGTACCGTTGCCGAAGAAATTTATCACATTGTGCCAATCATTTTTGTTCGTTGCCGTAGATATATCCGATGGCATAGTCTAGTCAAGTGGTCAACATTCTTAGGTGATTGGCCGACCTTTGCAAATGCGGTTGGTTGCATTGATGCTACTATTCACCGAGTACGAAGACCAACGGGACAGCTTCAGGCCGAGTTTTATCGCGGAGACAAGAAGTGCCATTTCATGTCCACCCAACTAGTCGTTGACACTGACGGGTTAATTGTTATGCTTGTATCAGGGTAAGTTATTTCTTTCATAGTAAATATCGCAATTATCTATGATTATCTTAATATACTGTTAGAGTGAGCTTTTGTGTTCACAGACAATAGCATTCATAGTTAAATTCTCTTCCCACTCTCTTCCAATGTCTCTCAGTAATACGAAAGCCTTGTTTTTGTTGTCTTAGATACCCCGGTCATTTAAATGACGCAAGAAGTTATCATCTACTTCCAAGGATCGGTTTTAACGGACCGCGACAGCTCCCTAGGGCAGCAAGACTGTTGGCAGATGGAGGTTATGCCGCAAGGGTCCCCTTGGTTACACCCCGCAGATTGGCGCGTCGTCGCAGGATACGCCAAGCCAATCGCGAGCTTCGACGATTAAGGGTTCGAATCGAGCACAGTATCGGTGCACTCAAGATTTATAAATCTATTTCAAGCGTTTTTAGACAAAAGAGAGCTTTCCTTCCAATCGTGGTAGCCACATGCGGTTTCTTAACGAATCGTAGACGCAGACTTATACAAAGTCTTTAAACCACAGTCTACTGCCTAACAAGTCCATTTGGCTAACTACGTTCTCTACTCCACTGTTCTGTTCTGTCCCCGAAGGYTTGCGGTTGTTGCTGCTATTTAAAACGCTATCTTGGAGGTTATGATATATTTGTGTTCCAGTTTATGTAATATGGTGCATATCCCTGAAAATCTTTGTCAGTCATCATTGCACAGTCTCTTACAAATTATTAAGTTAATAACGCGAAATCTCGGAATTGTAACAAGACAGATGAGGGAACAAGCTGCATCTAATAATTATATCGAAAAATTACCCTTAAAGAGCTAAACAAAACAAAACTAAAGACAAGATATGCGAGGAAACAAGTCGAATCGACTTAAAAGTAATTAACTGTCAAGTTTGCGCTTGAGAAAACATATTCAGTAGGCGCAGTATCGTTGTACTTCGGGATGTGATGCTTCATAACAGTTCATTAACGTTGCATTATACAATTTGTACTTAACTTTTCCATGGATACATGGCATGCTTAATATTTTTTGAAAATAATGATAAACACGAGCTACAAATAAAGCCATTTGACACATGACATTCAGTAACTAATATTTAATGTTATGCCGACTAAAATTGGTGATGCATGATTTTAGAAAACAAGAATAAATCAGTAATTTTGAAACCATATCTCAAGGTTAAATAAAAATGGCATACTAAACTCTATTGTTTACTGGTATTCGCATTACGAAATAAGTTGTGGCTTTTAACTAAAACGCGTAACTTGAGGTTAAAGTTACTTTGGTATTAAGCCTATGGAACTAATAGTGCCAAGGCCGGTAAATCGGAAAACTCTATTGTCGTCTATATATGGCATGAAAAGATGCTTACACCCAAGCTAGACCAGAATGCACTTCGCTCCCTATTACAAGTCTATGTTTTTCAGAGCTC